GGCGATGACAGGAAATACGATGGCCGCCCACAACGACGTCAAAAAAGGATAAAGGGGAAGGTCTCCGCCGTTGATCAACCCCTTTGTGGGATCTTCGCATTCTACTTCCATTCAGAATCGCAGTGGCTTATTGAATGCGATGTGGCCTATACAATGACTTGCGGTGGCCAGCCGATGTACAAGTCAGTGTTTTATCCTCCCAGACGAATCTGGTACCAATTCACCGTCCCCGGAGGGTAGAAGGCTTGGTTGGCCTGGGCGGAAGTCGACACCGCCCGACTGACTGCGACAATATCAAATGCAGTCCTTGTTGCTGCGTCGCGATCACCAGTAGCCACTAAACCGCCGTTAACGGGAGTTCCTGAAAAGATGTCCAAACATGTATGAGTTGTGCTGTATTGGGCAGATATCAGAAGTTTAGGCAGCGAATATATTATCCGACTCGGGAGGATTGATCGACTCCCCCCTTCTCCACTGGCTTGCGTTCTCCCAAATCGTCGACTCTGCGACTTCTAATCTTCCAGACCCCCAGATTGATACCAACACTTTCCTTTGCATGCTTTCTCCGACGACCTTATTTTCGTATTCTCATTGCCATCTAAGGCCTCTGAAATCACAGCAAGCAACTTTTCCCTACATAACAGTTCAGTAAAAGTTATACCTAATTGGTTCTGGATAGCGAGAACCTTTTTGCACAAAAACTGATTTACTTAACCAAGATTCCTCTTTTCGTAGACTTGGGAACGCCTGGCTTTCGCAATCCAGTGCGTTCGAGAGTTGAGAAGCGGTCTTCTCCGAAGAGGTATGTGGCAAGGCAATCGCGTCATGTCGCGCTGGTAGGCGTGGCTAGCGACGCCGCGCCCGGCAAACGCGTTAGGCATTGTTCACACTCTGCGGTCCAGCGTTTCTCTGAAACGCGGCGGTTCGGCGAAAAGCTTTCGATACATATCGACTGGCGGTTGGGCGAAGAGCCTGGCGGTTGGGCGAAAGGGTTTTGGTACGTATCGACGGGCGTTTCGCCAAACCGCGACGTTTTTCGCCTTCGACAAAACGCTAGCTCCATCGGTGGCGTTTTTCGCCAGCGAAATCGATACACATCTATCTTGCGTTTCGCTTCAACCACTCCAATCAGCGGGGTTGGACGCGTTGGGCGGTTCAAGCGATTCCCGCGATCGATGACTATTTATTGCTTTTCCCCCAACCGCCGTTTCGTCAGGGCCTGGAGACTGTGAACAATGCCTTAGACAGCGTTCAGATTTGTCGCGCTTCGATTGTGCGGCTTTGCGCTTGTACTGACACCGCTGACCTATTGGGTCGAGCGCGCTCCATTGTTGTTTGGTAGCCCATGCCCACAGGGTGGTCCGCCTTATGTTTCCTTCTCCGCTAGTTTTCAATCCGGTTTTTGCCACTGGTGTATCTCGTCTCGATTGTATAACCTAGATTCTTCTCTGCTCTTTTTCAATCTTGAGACATGTTGAATTTCAGTGTAAGTTTGACGTGTTTGACGACGGAGCATTCTTTGAAAGTATACGAAATGCATCAGCAAGCAGGAAATCTCATTATATTCACAGGAACTACATTGAAATTCAATGTCAAAGTGAAAAAGAGGAGCTAAGAATCAGGTAGAAATGAGAAACAGTGAAAAGGGGTTGAATACCGGAAGAACATAAAGGGAAGCTGGGGTCTGGTACAATTGGAGCGCGCTTCTAATTGTTCAATTACAAGCGACAGCGACAGTTGAAGCGCGACAATCAACGCGCGTTCAAGCGCGACAAGTCTGAACGCTGCCTTAGCCTGCCTGATCCTTTGAATATAATGGTCAGGACGGGAAAATCCTGTATCTTCATGGGCCCTGCCTTTGCTTGACTTCGTACGAGTTGCTGCCTCAACCGACAAAGTGATACATATCGAGAATTTGCCGCGCATGGCCGAACGACACGCCGCGTGCGGCGTCGAGACAAATTACGACTGTCTCGTACCTTTCTCAAAGTCCTCGCCCCTTACTTCTAATTCAAAAGCAGTGCTGTTTAGTGCTTCATAAACGAAATTCGGGAGAAATAGCGTCAGGGCGATGCTCGTAGCTACCAGAGACTTAAAAACTTAAAATTGGGACTACTGTACGCCGACGAACTGTTGCACCAAAACACCAAACTGCACTGCAAAATTGTTCCGCGATATGTTCTCTGCAAATGTTCATAGTTTGCGAGCTTGTCGTCGCGAAGCTCACGATTGAAAACTTGAAAATCTAAAAAAAACTAGTCTAACATTTCTCTCGAGCTTTATGTAGTAGGATATCCTCGTGTTCAGAAGGACAGGAATTTATCTGGCATTGGACTGCATTTTCGCTTCTACCCAGAGAGAAAACTGGATCATGTGAGGAGCAATCATTGATTTTTTGAAAAATTAAGAAAATCTTATTTTAGCATTAAATATTTCTCCAAATCTAGTAGCCATCTTCAAATGAGGAATTGAACGAAATTCAGCCTTTCTATTCTTCTAGTTCTGTCGTTTGACCCTCGTTCTTGGTGTGTTTTGTGTAGTGGGGTAGTTTGAGTGGCGGCGAGGGCGAGGCTCTCACACATTTGATTCCGCAGTGAGGTCACACGGCTGAGTCACGACGCATTTTCCGTGAGTTGTGGTTTTAGCCCTAATACGTTTCTGTTGTGATAGTCCTGATCTTTGCGAATTACACGATCAAATTGATCTTCATAGACATTGATTGATTGATTAGCGGTCGAAACCAACTCAATTTGCAATGTCAAGACACCGTTTAACAACGTTGTCATCGTCACGGCCGCGCAGGTTGTACCTAGGACGTGTTCTTTGACCATTTTGCTTCCTGTTGGCTCTTCAGTTCTTTCATTTCCAGAGGATTCTTACTTTTTGGGGCTTTTCAACTAGTACTCAGACTCGCGCGATACTACTTCTCTTAGTTGTTTTGTTTACTAAGCTTATGCGATCGATACAGCGGGTTTGCTCCATAAACTACACCCGTCTAGGCTATTCGTTCTCCTTTGCTCCGAATTCTCTTGTGTATTTTTCGTCTTTTATGGTCAAAGTGTAACCTATAGCTGTTGCTGGAATTAATGGACAAATCTAAGTGCGTTCGTACTTTGCGATGGCGTTTTGAGCACTTGGGAAATAGGCATCGACCTAGCGCTCTGAGCGTCCACCAGCGTTTTGGACGTTTTGAGCGACTAGGAAAGTGTTGGTATCGAACTAGCGTTTTGAGCGCCCGTCAGCGTGTTCAGATGTAATCGATACCTATATTGTTAGTCGCTCAAGACGCTGACGCAAAGTATGAGCGCACTTTTACTTGCATACTTGGCATATATGTAATTAAAAGATGGGCACAGATAGTCCGCTGATACTTTCCTCAAACTTGTTCGGAAGCTATAATGGCCGTTTTCGGCTGATGTTAGCAATGGTACAGACTTCATAAGGTCACTTAGTAAACGGTTTATGGGGCTACTTTCTTCAGGGGAAGGGTTGCGTTTTGTAAAGTTCTGATAACATCCGGAACATATTTCGGTGATTTTCTGTAAGCTTACGAGCTAATTGCTGCTGAATGAAGGGGCGTGTCCGGAGGATGGAGTTTGGATGCCGAGTTTAAACCCGTTCTCCTATCAGTTACTGAAGCGAGCAGTGACAAGTCTGCTCATCGACGGTCATTTATCGTCTTTTTCAAGAAATGTAGTATGGGGCATCCGCTTTAACAACTGCATGTGAAGAAAGATTGGGATGGCCGTCGTGGAACTCATTACTAGCCCGACCGGCCCATCTTCGCAGCGATACTACAGTATAGACTCACAAATTCGCAAATCCAATCTTATTAGTTTGTATTAAAGAAATTACTCCTATGTTCAATCGGAGGCTTTGTTTTCCTTTAGAGGAAAGAATAAAATCTTGGAACAGAGCTGGGATCGGAAAGACGTGCAAGAACCCATGCTACCACTCTTGTATAGGAGTTCAAAATACGGACTTTCATAAACGCCAGTCTAGGACAAGAAAGATAAGAGAATCCAGCTTCCTTTTCAGCGATATTGTGTTTTGATTTCTCGTTTTTCTCATGACGCTGTGCGCGAAACGAACTAGCTTCTCTCGATGCCAGAGTGGTTTATTTTTTTTCACAAATATTTAGCAGATTTTTCGGCGAGGGGGGCACGGTGGGGAAAAAAAGGTAAAGGGACTGCGGAAGGGAAAAGGAAAAGAAGGGAAGGAAAAATGAAGGGGAGGACGGAGGTTTGCGGTTTGACAGAATGTCTGAGCCGCGGTATTCTAGATTTTTTCTCCTTCAGAGCAAATTTAGCAACTTCTCTAACCTTATTTGTTCAAATTTGATTTATTATCGATTTTTAGTATTTTTATTGAAGTCGTCCGCTAAAAAAAACTTTCCCATGGATGTTGATAGTGACAAATTTTTTACAACTCATGTTGTTTTGATTACGATCTCCAATTTCATTGCCGACGTTATCGCGATTGTTTATGAATGAGCGTTCCACTGACACTTTTGGCCTTTATTGATTCCCTACCTCATTCTCAATTCGCCTTTTTTTTCCGGTATAACGTGTTTGCTGTTCCTTTTTTGTCTGATCGGATTGCTTTTCTTCAGTACAGCTTGTTTCAGACTATGGATCCAACAGGACCGGATCTGCTGTTTTACAGGCTCATTGCATGGGTGAGTTGTTCGCTGATGCCAGTTTAATATTCCAAAGAGCAGATAATTTTTCTCTATATTTTTTTCATTTTTTCCATTCCATTCACACATTTTTTACATATTTGTTTTTACATTTTTATTTGCATTGTAAACTTTTATTCGTTTGAGTCCCCCGGGCTATGAAATAGCTATGGTTCATCTGAGGAAAGGGCGAAACGGCCGTCTGTTTTCGGTTTTTCTCAGTCATTTGTGTTGCTTGCCTTCTAATTATCCGGGCTGATATCTTATCTTTGACCCTTTCTTGTTCAATCTTGCTGCGAACTCCATTTGCCCTTTATTGCAGATGAAATCACTCGGTTTCACAACGTTGAGTTTGGAGCCGAAATGTCTCAGAAGTGGTCGTGCTTTTGGTGAAATCCTTCATGGAATGTAAGTGAGCGCCTTTTCCCTACATGTGATTTCTATTTGTATGCTGCCTAGATTTTTTGTTTGTAAGTCCTGTTTTAAGATAAATGAAGCGCTTATGCAGTTTTGCTATCTACGGGTGATGAGGCGTGTCGGTGAGGCGAGTGTTGGCACAGCGCCAAATCCATTTTTTCACCAGTTTTTGAAGCGAGTAAGCGGCAGAGCTTATCATATAGTTCTCTTCAGTCGTTTTCCACCTATTATATTGTCGCTTATCCGTTTCAATGACGGGTGGAAAACGAATTTGGCACCATGCCAAGTATAGCCTCACTAACACGTCCTCATCATCCGCTTCGAGTAAGACTTGGCAAGTGCTTCACTATTTTCAAATTTATCCTTGTCATCTCCAAGCCGAAACCTCTATTTATACAGCATTAACCACAGGTGTAAGAATAGCAAAATAAGCATTGCTTTCTGCTAGTGTGGTCTAGTTATTTTATGCTAAAAAGGAAAAAAAATTTATTTGCAAGAGTTTCGAAAAACTTTTGATGTACTGCCAACTAATAGATAGCAGCTGTGAAATGATAATTCGCTGTGTTCTTCGTGCTGAGCCTCGTCTTCGTTCTTTGTTTGTCCAGAATTTTATGTATTCTCCCTTTCCAATTTCGAGTTTCTGTAAGACAATAAGGTTTCCCGTTGAAAGTTCTCTTGCGGTGGTAAATGAGATTTCCAAAAAGATTCCCTTTCCTTATAAAAGACCAAAGGTTTATGTCTCAGCAGAAGTGGATTTCAAGATCTATCAGGCTTTTAGAGATGATTTTTTTTGTATTTCAGAGATGAAGACTTCTTCAATGAAATGTGGATTGAAAAGATCGCACAGTATGACTCTGATTCCAACTGGAGGGTCAAGGCCAATAACCTCCGCAAAGTGGGTATATTTTGAGTTTGACTAGTTCAGCAAACATTCCAAAGAAACATGTTTACAAATTAGAAGTCCTCCGCAAGTTATAATGGTATTGACACCTACATTAGCTTCTGATTTAGCTCACCCGGAGTCTGGGAGAGTACTATGAGGAGTGTATTCACAGGATCGTGAAGGGTACTCATTTACTAGATATAGACGAAATGGAGTTCGGTTAGTTTTAATGCTTGTTTTCTTTGTTCATTGGGCTTCTGTTAGAAAAGGAAGGAAAGAAGGAGATCTTTCATGGAAATCGAGATTTTTCATAAATGTGAATTTTTTATGGAAATCCACCTGATTTTCCGTCTTTGTGTCTCCTTAGCTTTTTTTCTATTACGCTTTTTTAATGCATGCTACTTGAACATTTTTTGACATCCGCTTTATCTCTGAGTTTGCGCTAGTGGCCGTCCACGACTGGTATAATTACCAAAAGCTCACCAAAAGTTTTCTTGATAACTGTTTGTCATGCGATTTATCACCAAAGTGCGCCGAAACACGCAATCCGAAGTACTGATGTAATTTGGAATCCAGGTATTGCACGACGTAGTGATCTACCAAAACTTCTTTTCGTCAAAGAACTTCAGAAACTCGAAAGAGTGCTAAGACGTCCCTGCGAAATTTTCTTTCGTTTATATATTTCGCTGTCTAGCACATTGCTCAGCAACCGCGATTTGCCCCATCTGCTGTTTGAGCTTCCCTTATGAGGCATCGCCTTGCAAGAAGGACCTGATCTAAGAATGACAAATAAAGAATGCTCATCCTTGCACTTGTAGGGGCTTTAAATCAGAGAATAGGTTTCGGTCAACCGATTGTTAGTTTCTTTGAATCTGTACGCGAAGACGATATGAGCACGAACTGTAGCCTGTGGCGCTAGTCATGCTCAGTGAGCGCTCGAAGATCTCATCTGAATAGAATTCGAGCAAATGACGCATACCACAAAGCTGCGTCCATACTTTGCGGCATCCACCAGCAGCCCCAACGTTTCGAGCGGCCGAAAGCGAGTATGAAGGCATTCAGTCAGATAGTGCACACTAACGTTCACCAGCGTCTAGGGAAGTGTACCTATAGATCTAGCAACGCCAGCGTCTACCAGTGACCATCAGCGTACAGGAGTAGAGCGAAGAAGGAAGGGCAGTGGGCAACTAGGCATCATGATGTGATGTGTGCAGCCGCATCGTACAAATGCTAACAACTGCTAAAGAACGCAATCATGCAGTTTGAAGTACGGTGTAGTGTAGTTGTACGGTGCGGTTGCGCACGTCGCAATCTTACGACGCCTAATCCAGCTGTCTGTTACCCTCCTACTTCCCCATATTCTCTACTCTCGAACGCTGGTGTCGCTGGTGGACGCTACTGCAAAGTTTAAATGCAGCCTAAGCTTTTTGTCAATCGCTCTACTTTTGTTTCAAAACTTCCGGGCTTTTATTTCGATCGTCAGCCTATAGCGAAGATGTTTTCAAAAACAACTATGGGTGAAGACTTTTCAAATATTCGTTTCAGAATGATCTTTGAGGTATTTATGGAATGATCAGACTTACCTGCTCTGATCTATTGTATTTAACGTGTTGCTTGTGTCAATTCTTATCGTTTGTTGTTCTTTCTTGTTCGCAAATTGAATTTTTGTAGCTGAGACGGGATCGACCACAGAGCTACTTAAGATGGCTGTTCTCATCGTTGGAGCTGCATTTTTGGGCAGTAAGCAAAAAAGTGAGTTGATTTGAGGGCATTTCCTGGTCGTTGAATGAGATGATTTTTCCGTTTTGCCTGAGCTCGCGTCTGTGTTGAGCACAAGGGAGGTCCAAAGGAAAATTTGTCCCAAAGTTACTTTTTTCCGATACCTTTGCTTGCGGGTTTTCGTCCTCGAAATTAGAGAGAAATGCTTGGTCTAATCGGGGAAGGCTTTATTCCTTTGAAGGAAATATCGCATTCGAAAGACTGAACATATTGCTGGCGCAAAAACTGGCCTGTTTTGCGGCGTCAGGCGTTTTTACTCCGAACGCGTGCAAAATTCATGCTTGGGGCCGAACACCTCGGGAGGGGTACAGGTGCTTGACCATATCTACGCTTGAGAAAAATCCTTCAAAAAGTACAAATGCGGCCTGAATTTTTAAGTGTGAACCCGTAACGGTGTCTAGTCTCGTTTTTCTAGTTGTTTCCTCTTATGCATTAGAGACCGCGTTCGTACTTTGCAAATGAGGAGATTCGGCGATTTGAGAGATTGCGTGGCGAGGAAAGTATAGGTATCGATCTGCGACTGAGGAGATTGAGCGATCCGGCGATTGAAGCCAGTAGCCAGCGATTGCGGGTATTCGGCGGTCCCTCTCTATCGGGAGATCGCCGAGACTCTCAAATAGCCGACTTGCCGAATCTAAGCGAACGATAATCATCCACACCCTTTGCGCGCAATCACCGGATCGCTCAATCTCCGCAGTCGCCAGACCGATACCCACTCTTTCCTTGTCACATAATCTCTCAAATCGCCCAGTCTCCCAAATCGCTGAATCTCCCCAGTCGCAAAGTATGAACACGGCCTAGAAGGTAGGAACTGTGCTATCCTAGGAACACTGTTGTTTTAGAATTTGTTGACGGTATCACAGTTTTGGATCCTGATGTGCAAGGTGGTGTCATGACCGCTATACAATCTGTTATGGAAGGATCTGAAAAAAGAGATATTCCAACGCCAGTTTCGCCAGAGGAAATTCTTCCAGATTTGGTACGTGATATTCGCTTCTTGCCGTTGTGTCAGTTGTTTTGTCCTACTCTTTCTGCATTCATCATAGCTTCTGAGTTTTTTTCAGAAAGCTAATAGCGGGGCGAGCTCAAGCACCAGTGATGAATTGGGCGGCCGATTAGCTTCCTTGAGTAAAGAAGTATGTTGCTTTCGTCAATTCTCTTCGTTTCCGAGAACCAGTGAGCGCTTAAATGGCTTTCGTGCTTCTTCGTATCGAGTCTCAAATTCTGTTCCTCCCATCTTCCGCGGTCT